GGTGTTTGGTTTTTTTTGGTTTTTTTTTTTTTTTTTTTTTTTTGAGGGGAAAGAGGTGGTGGTGGTTTGGTGTCCTTCTCTGTACTCTTATTGATCACAAAACGAGGGACATACATTGGACATATGCATTGAACTATTTAAAGGATATTTTTTTCGCTCTCTGCATTGATGAGAAAGCCTCAGAAAATGTAGATGAAGATAGCACATTGAAGAAAAAAAGTCTTGCTGGATTTTGGATTTTAAGCTAATCCATAAGAACTGTATTGTTACGTAGAAAGTATGGTAACATTATAATGGGCACATTCATACTGTTCAGACACTTGTTCAAAGGTCTTTTTTCTATTTTCAGGTGGATTGCTTGCAGCCGCTTAATTTGTTGTACTTATGTACTGATTCCCTTTTTTCCTCTTTAGGTAAAAGTATGGATGAAATTAAGAAGCTGCTGCTGTTGGTTCTAGGTTGTGCTGTGCAGGTAACATTCATTAAGGGCTTGGAGAATAAGATATTTTGGAATCTGCATTTTTTTTCTGGACTGAGAAAATCCACACCAAAGATCAGTGCTGTGTGAACAGATCTCCAGCTCGAGGCAGCTTGTGAGCTGAAATTGTGTGAAGACACAATAGGTGAATGAAAGAAACGCAGGGGAAAGGAAGCACACTTTGTAAAGGTTCCACTAGCCTCAATTTGTTGCCAGTGCTTAATCAGCAACAAGATATTTACTCTTGTAACTAAGTAGTCCTCTTTGATAACAAAGTGGGTAGAGGTAAGCTTTGAGCAATGTTCTTGATATCAACCAATGTTTTTGGTTTATTTTCTTACTGTTGTAAAATATGGAGTGGAACAGTGCATGTTAACGCCAAGTAAATAGATAAGCTCACAGTCTTAAGCACTTGTTTAATGGATCCTGATTTTATTTGCATAATCTTCCGATTGTATTTTCTACATGTGATATTCAAAATGAATAGATACTTTGTATATTCATGTGGGGATTTTTACGCGGCATTTGTTAAAATAAATAGACAGGCAATGTATATGGGAAACTCCCCACAAATGCAGGACAGTTACCAGATAAAGAAATCAGTGTTCTGCCCACCAAACCTCTGTGTCGGTAAACAATAGACGCGTTGCGGGCTAGCCTTTGCTGATAATTGACCTTGTTTGTAGGTCTGTCTAGTGGTTTTGTCATGCCTTAGGACACTTACCCTGCTCAGCTATGTCAAGTCGATTATGTCAGGGTAAAGCTGTGTACATATGACTGCTCTGAACTATCTCAGTGTTGGGCTGCAGCACAGAGAATAAAGGTCTGGTTTGGCAAGCTGCTGTGCATCCTCAGTTCCTGTTTACGGGTCTGAGGTTCCTCTCAATGAAAGGAATGGTTGGGACTTGGAACCAGGCCCTGAAAGGACACTGTAAACAAGTTTAAAAAAACTTCTAAGTAACGCCTAACTTCTCCACCAAGTGAGGTTTTTATGAGAAGATAGTAATGTTGTTAATGTACTATCACAGATACACAGATAGCAGATGTCTGTCTCTTTTTAAAGCCTTAAGTAAAAGATTTACTACAATCTGTTTCTCTGAAATGTCTATCCAGAATGTTTTCCAAACCCATTTATCTAAAGCACATACTGCTTTAGTCCAGCAAGCCACATTATGCATTGATGTGAATAATGTCTAACATGATGCATCTCTTTCAATTGCCAAAAACCAGCAAAAGGCAAACAGCAAAGCAGACAGGTTAAATGATGCAATGCAAATGTAGGTTTATGTTTGTGCTGCTCCATTAATGAAGCTGTGCTGATTTCCTCCAGCCGTTGCCCCACCTCTTGATCTCAGTGCATGTTGAACTTGTTTTTAAAGAGCAAAACCAGCCATTTAGCTTCATCTTAATTGTACTGACTGTAAAAAGTTTAAATAATTTTATGTGTAGTTTGGGTCAAGCTCCATATGGAGCAATGAAACATTAGACCATCTAGTGTGACGAAGTGTAGATCATGGAACATTTGTTGTTAGCAATGTGGGGATTTTTATTTTATTGTTTTGTTGTTTTTTTTTGAAAAATGATGTAGTAAGTTTTAGGATATATAGCACTGTTTCAGAATGTGTTTTCTTTTGTCAGTGTGAAAGAAAAGAAGAGTTTATTGAAAGAATAAAGCAACTGGATATTGAAACCCAGGCTGCCATTGTGTCACACATTCAGGAGGTGAGACTCTCAGTATTGTCTATTCTGACTTTTTATCTCTCCCTTCCTTGACTTGTCAGGGTTTTGTTTGCTATGACATATTAATGCTTGTAATTTCATAATGGATTAATAAATTTCACCAAAAAAAGAGAAAAGGTTGAATATGTTACTGCAGTCAAATTATAACATGAAAATGATAGGTGCTGGGAACATTACTTTCCTCAGCGGTCTTTTAAAGAGATTCAGTGGTAAATGTCTTGCTTGCCAGTTACAGGCTATGTAGGAGGAATCATTGTAAGGATGCTTTGTGAGATTTCCAAAAAGCATGTATGGCTTAGGAGCTGCTGTGCCCCTTGAAGCAGTGGTGTAGGCACTTAGACCCAAGTCGTCCTGTGTTAGCTGAGACACAAGCTCCCCAGTGGCTTTCTTTGGACAGTGGCCTTCAGGATCAGATGGTCTTGAAAAGTGTACTCTGCAGCTAGAATTGGACATATACTCTACTTTTAAGGAGAAATTTGATCCAGTGACAAGTATACTTGGACTTCCAAGATTTCTGTAGAAGAAAGAAATACAGGTAAGCGTTAGGAGCTGGCTTGCTTTGAGGACCCAAAGGAGAGCCATGTGGGAATGGCCCCTGCTGAGTGCCCCCTCACCGGCCGTGGGAATGGGCTGCAGCCAGGTGTCAGTGTGTGCATGTGTAGAAAGCCCAGTATGTCTGGATTTGAAGAATAAATAGTGAGAGTCTCAGATGGGATTTATTTTTCTTAACACTTAAAAAAACTAGTTTTGCTTAAAAAAAAAAAAATTAACTAAGCACATGGTTATTACAAAAGCAGGAACAGTCTTTAACACTGAGCTTGAGAGACTTGCCTGACATTTCTGCTAAATGATTCAGAGGAAATCAGTTAGGGTAAGATTGCAGTTGAAAGGTACACTGCTAGCAGCAACCAGAGACATTTCTGCTAAAGGCAGTTCCTCCCCAGTGTATCAGCTGCAAATTCATTGAAAGGAGGGCTGCTTCTCAGTGAGACACCAGCCAAACTGCTCAGTGTGGGATCAGTCCCTTCACGTCCCTGTAGTGACCACCTCAGTGCCTGCAGTAGGACAGATGCATGCTTCTAATATGCAAGCACATGTGCTATTGATCATAAAATGTATCTAATCACTTTTAAAAAGCAACATTAATAATTATTAAAAAAAAATCTAAATACCAGAAATTGCTGGGTCGTGTTATAGTTAAGGTAGTTGCATTTGTCATTTACAACCTGGTTTAGGTGAAATATTCCGTGTTTTTTAATTGGTCAGTAGAAGAACCTTGGAAATGCAGCACATACACCAAACAAATTCACAAATCGAGCAGTGGAAAGACTTTTATTTTTTGTTCCTAGGTGACTCACAACCAAGAGAATGTCTTCGACTTACAGTGGCTGGAGCTCCCAGATATGGCCCCAGAGGAACTGGAGTCTCTCTCCAGGAATATGGTTTTCCACCTCAAGAGGCTCATTGATGAGAGAGATGAATGCACAGAAGTACAATGACTTATTTTTCCCATATAGAGCTCATGTGAATCAGCAGATGCAGTCTCTCTTCCGTGTCTTGTGTCTTGTTTGTGCACTGGATTTCTATTTCTTCTGCACCTTTCTGCTACACCTCTGAAAATCTGTAGGAAGATTTTGACTTCTCCATTGATTCTTACGTAAACACTAAGGTGTGGTGAAATGATTGGTAAACAGGAGTGGTCTCTCCACTTCATGGAGATATCTGAAGTTGTGACTTCGTATTGACACTTTTTTCTCTGCATATCTGCTCAGCCATCTACTTTTGAGTGACTGCTTGCCTGTCTCTCCACTGGTATCTACCACGATGGGATCCAGTGACTTCTGGATTTTGGTTTTTGGAGTGAAGATGGCTCTGCGTGTTGCAGACTAATCAATTCCTTTATTTTCAGGTCTCCCCTTTTTTAACCTCTAAATTTTCTGTCCTGCTTTTAACTGTGATTGCATTAGTTAAAACTCTTAGCTGTTACAGGTTTATATGAATTCTCCAAGTGAAATAGACTTTTTATTTTGAGCATTGGAAAGGGAATGTTTTAGTGGTCTAAGCACAGTGAAAATTCCTTTCCTCCTCTGTGCAATCCTCCCTCCTGGCTGTCACTTGAATTCTGTATAATGCCAGAGTAATTTGTGCATTTATTAATAATTTTTAGATACATGAAAAAATGAGGTATAATTATACTGCTTATCTATTGACACTGCATATGTCTCTGTATTTCCAGGTCATTGTAGATCTCACTCAAGAGAGAGATTATCTGCAGTCTCAGCAACCACTGAGTCCTCTGAAAGCACCAAATCCAGACCCTTCACCAAACCCAGTCAGCCCTCTATCTAATGAAGACAAGCAGCACCTTGCAGTTGAGCTGGCAGACACAAAGGCTAAATTGAGAAGAATCCGACAGGAGCTGTGAGTCACCATGATTTGTGCTTCTAGACAGACTTGTGTATTAAGTCTTGTGCATCCTGAAGATGCAGGTGCCTCTCAGCTTCAGTACACTGGCACCCATGGAAGCTTTTAGCATCATGTCCTTCCATTTTTTTTTATTCAGAGCAGTAGGAAACTAGTATGGGTGTTCTACCTTTCTTCTTTTTTAACTGGTTATTAACTACAAAGGGATGGCTACTTCTGTTTTTCTTTTTGTGTCTCATCTCTCTCTTCACTTCTCCAAAACGCCAGCTGCCAGCTTCACTGTTTAATTACTAGTGGGACCAGTGAAGCTAACTACAGCAGTAGTACCAGTGAAATTTAAACAGAAGTACTTAGTATAAAAACAAAGTTGCAAACTCAAATCCATGATATGTTTATGGTATCGTGAGAAAAGAACTCTTTTCTATCATGAAACTGTTGTGACAAAGAGTCTCCATGTTCAGTATACGCTAAGAGTTTTCTGTCTTTCTTTCCAGATACCTAGCAGTGTCTGTATAATCAATATTGTTTCAGGAAAACAAAAAAGTCTTACTAGTTTTTCTAATCGTTTCCAGGGAAGAGAAGTCTGAGCAGCTTGTAGATTCTAAACACGAAGTTGAGCAGCTCACCCTAGAGTTGCAGAAAATAAAACAAGAGGTAAGATGGTCTCGTTTGACAGTCTTCCTTATTTAAAAAGGCCTCTTTCAGTGTGAGGCTTAAAAATACTACTATGTCTATTTTTTAATGAAAAAAAGTTACTCCAGCAAGCTGTTCAATGGTTATCGCTATGGCATAGCAATGCTATGCTTTCCACTTAACTGGTGAGAGCAACTTCATCTGCAAATAGCCTAGTACTGCCTGAAGCTTATGCAGCATCAGGCTGAAGAACCTGTCTCACAGGGAATTTGCTGGCTAGCAGAATTCTCTTACTCTTGAACCAGGAGAATGCTATTTGCGTATGCTTAAAATAAGTAATTAAATAAATAAAGTTTAAAGAACATGCTTTGAAGTATTAACTAAGATTTTTCTCCCTGCTTATTCCTAATTTCTCACAGAATATCCACCTGGCCTCAGATGCTCGCTCTGCCCGAGCATACAGAGATGAGCTTGACTCTCTGAGAGAGAGGGCAAACCGTGTGGAGAGGCTTGAGATGGAACTTGTTCGGTGCAAAGAGAAACTTCATGATGTGGATTTTTACAAAGCTCGCATGGAGGCAAGTGAAAATTGGGAGAAGGATTTGCTGAGTAATCCTTAGTGTTTGGCTTTTGTTATGCTACCAGTTCATGTGTCATTTATCATTCATCTGACTGTAGGAAAACATCAGAGCAAGTGGTAATTTCATAATATATGCCATAGTTATTGACTTAGCAACATTAAAACTTTCTTCAGAAGAAGGGCTTGGTGCACACAAAAGCAAATACCCATTACTTTTAATAAACTCTGCTTAGTTCAACATTTTGTGGCTAAGCAGGACTAACCTTTTCTTGAATGCTTTTTCTAGAGAATCCAGACCTTTAGTCTGGCCTTGAAAATTTACTCTTAGGTAGAATGCTTGTGTTCCAGAGTTATTCCTTTGACAAACGTTTTAAATGTGATGTATACATTAGCTAAATGAATGTCTGGGTGTTTTTCCTTAGGGGATTGTAGCACATGCAGCTGTTGTTGAAATGGCTGGGTGTTTTTAAGCACGACCTCAGATGACAAATTCTAGCCACCTCTTATTGCAACTGTTGCTTGTAGTAGAAAGAAGAGACAAGATGGATTTTCCATAGTGCACCAAGTAGGGTATGTCAATGAGGAATGTATAGCTTTTTTCCAGTAGTGATGCTAGTTACTCAGCTGAGTCACTTGCAGCTCTGCCCATCCTGTAATTATTAATTAAGTTAAAAGGACTTTGGAGAACATCTAGACAAACTCTTTGCTCACAGCATGGCTGGCCTTAAATTTAGGTCAGACTGCTCTTATTTTCTGTCCTTGCAATTCTTCAAGCCATTCTCACCTGACTCTTAATGATCCACCTACATAACACTCCAGCTGAAGTCAAATAAATATTCAGACTTGCTCAATGCATTGGAGGTTCAGTAACTGACAACCTCACTATAATTAGATAAAATCCCAGGTCTGAGACAGAAGAGTGATGTTGAAACTTGCATTTACCAGGCCTCTGGCTGAGAACACAGACGTTATTTCTGCTCTATAAACTCTACTTCGTAGGAGATTTTTTTTCCTCTCTTTAACCTAAGGGACCAGCTAGCTGCTGCTTCTTTTGAATAGGTTCACTAAAATGGATGGTTATTAAATGTAGTAATAGACTACAAAAGCCTGTCTTCCCTCTTAGTAATTCTCCGTTTAGTTCAGGAAGCATGAAGCTCTGGCTCTCTCTGTTTTTCTCCCTCAAGCTGGCAAATCAGTCGTGCATTAACCTGGCACACTAGCTATCAGCGTGCCATCCTGGCATTTCCCTTTTGGCTGTGCACTGGGGTCACTTAGCTTCTCCCTGCTGCTGAGATAATTTAGCTAGAGCTAGGACAAGAGTTTTTTAATCTTGTCTTCATCTGAGATCCAAGGGAGTAGCTATTTCTGTTCTGGAGTTCTCAGCCTCCTTGCTTGTCCTAGAGCCAGCAGCTTTCTACTCTGCTGCCCGCATGCTAATCTTGCTTACCATAGCATTCAGTAAAGAGACCTCCACTTAAGTTTCAAATTTATTCCAAGTTTTCTCACTCCCTCTTCCACCGTGTCAGTTTTTGGTGAACTCTCCAAGGATGCCTTCCTGATACACAGTAGTGGAACAAAGAATATTTTCCATTGATATGGCACTTTTCTAATTCCAGACCATAGTGAGACTTCTCTCAGAAGTTGTCGCTGCTGTTGGGGCTGAGCTCTTCTAGTATGCAGCAGGATTGTACAGCTGTCTGCCGGCAGCTCTGTGGTCTAGAATAGCCAGAGAGTTCCACATTCTTACCACTCCCTCTTCCATCATTGACCAAGTCTTGGCACAGCCAGGGACTGCCAGTGTTGAGCAGAGGCAGCGTCAGGCAAACTCCACTGGTTTGATGCTGATACAATCAGAGGATTGTACAGGGCACCATTCTCTCTTTTTTATAGTCATGGAATAGCACAAAGTTGGATGCTGGTGAAGTAGCCAGTATCCAACTTTTCATGGTTCTCAGTTTTCTGTCTTGTCTGTCTTAAGTCCTCTGCCCCTTCCAAAAGAAAGGTTGTTTGCTAGAGTCAGTTCAGTGTCTGCTCAGAGTCCTCCTACTCCCTCAAAAACTCTTTGGCTTACAATTCCGAGTTGTAAAATTTGTGCAGGGATGAAACATAGTAGATTTTTACCACTTAACAGTACACTGCTGATTCACCTTATGCTGTTTATTGATTGTGGCTGACTTTCTAGGCATTAAATCTTTAAGGCCTGAACAAATCTAGGTCTATAAAGTATAGCATAAACCACTTTCCTATGGTAATGTGATTCCTTAAGCCTCATAGGGTCTTGACAGCGTTGTTAATAAGCAGTGCCAAATTGCTGAGGGAGAAGAAAAAGTGGGTTTACCTTTGTGCATAAATGCAGAAAGCTATTAAATGAGCATTTAGAAATATTTTCCGTCTTGTGGTTCACATATACATTTGGTGATTTGAGCAAAAAATATGGAACGTGCTCCATGTATGATACTGTGACAGGCTTTAGGAATTTCAGGGAAGCTTACAAGTAGTTTCTGAAAGCACATAACGCAGATCAGCAGTGGCAGCAGGAGAGATTGAAGGACCTGTTGCAGGAGTGCAAAAGGAGCAAGTCGTTCTCTGTGAATGTAACACATGTAGACATATGTGTTGTATGTGTTGTTTTCTCTTTCTGTATGTCTTGACAAAGTTGTTAACAAATAACGTTTTAATTTGACCATCATTCAAGGAACATGGAGATGAATGTACTCTGGAGACCTTCCTGCTGGGGTGGCTTGATGAGGCCGTAGCTGTGACTGTGGGGGACCAGGCTTAATGCAGGGCTTCCTCCATAGAGCTGCTTCTCTCTGATGTAAATCTTCCCATTGAACCTTTTTCTGCTCCAGGAGATCAGATTATTTTCTGAGGCCAGGGAGTTTGCCTTGCCCGTTCTTCCTCCCTCTCACTGCAATCACATTTCCATGCAGGATGATGGGAGGAATTTCTGCAAATGTTCAAAAAAGCAAAAGCATCTCTTTTATGTTTTCACATAACTGCTTGGGGCAATGTTTGTTTGTCGCAAGATATTTACTGTGTCTTGGCTCAGTAAGGGGCAGCTTCTGAACTGCCAGAAGGGAGGCCTTTGAACTCCATTTAATAACTAGGTCTGGATATGTGTGCAAATTCTGTCGCTTCAGATTTAAACAATCTGATTGCTACTTTAGTTTCTGAAATGTTTTCCAGTACCAACACAACCCAATTGTGCAACCACTTACCCACAGAGTTAACTGTAACGACATGTGTACACAATGCTCAATCTTTAAGCTGTTTCAAGGCACAGTGATACAGAATCAAACCACAATAGGTGATTTATTTTAGAAATTACAAAACCAAAATTGTTTATATTGGATATTTAACTATCACAATCTAAGTGATATTAAACAAAGGAGGTTTTTTAATCCCCTGCCTCATAAATTCAATGTATTTAAAAAAAAAAATCCATGGCCAACTATTTGTGCTGTCAATTTAAAAATAAATTCATAGTTACAAAATAATTTTGGTGGGTATGTTAATTAAAGAAAAAAATAAACCTTAATTCCAGTGGAAGGACCACCACCTCTTGATTGTCTAACAAGTGTGATTTGTAGTTGAACACATTTTTAGGTCAGCTGTTTTATCCCAGTAGCTTCTGGAAACATGTTAGTGCTGAAATATTTTAGGACATTTTACCTTCCAGGCCTTGCGATGTAACTCCACAAAGCTCCCATGCAGTAATTGTTTAGAATGTATGAACTTCTCAATATTAAGACAACCTCAGGTCACAGGTACACTGGTGAGCAATGTTGACCTCACCGTAGCAGGCATTTCCACCAGGTTATTGTACGGTTTCATCAGAACTGCTTTGAACGGACATGTCTGCCCCTCCTGGGCGCTCAGTGGCAAGTGCTTCAGTGTTCCATGCGTTGCAGCTCCCAGTGTTGTGTGGTTTGTACCTGAGCCTGCATATGAGTATGTACTTGGCACATAGCTTGACTCTTCACGAGACGCTAAAATAACTGGTTCCTGCTTGGTAGGCAGTTTTCAGGGTGGTTCTAAGGCCATGTTTTTGAGGTCAGACACTACCTTACTTCTTGGGACTGTGCTCTAGATTGAGTGTGATAATCTAGCAAAGCTCTTGTCATGTTGCTGTTTCATTACAGCTGTTCTGGCAGCTTACATGACACTCAGCATGTTTTGTGTCATGTACTTCCTCTGGTCTGTCGTCGGTTCAGTGTCAGCCTTTGTAGCTTGACTGCTCTGAAGTGACCCTGTTAGGTCAGACTTGGCCCAAATGCTGGTTCTATCAAAATAGTGTTTCAGTACTATTATTCTAGTTACTTGCATACTCAGACATTATAGTTGTAGTAGTTGAACCAGTTCACAAGCATGTGACATACCTACCCTTTTAATGCTACTGCAGTATGGAAATCTTTCTTCTTGTATTTTGCACATTGGACTTATCTTGAAAGGCCTTTTCCAACCTAAAAAATTGTATGATTCTAAGTTGCTTACCCACTGAGAGATCAAGGCCAATATTGTACTCCATAAGGCAAACTTCCCGTATTACAGTCCCTGCAGTCAAGAGGCAGCAAACAAACAACTAAGACAACTTGCTGTGTAGGGGCAATAAGTCGTGTTCCCCTGTACTAGCAAAAGGCAAGAGGGAGTGGCTGTCATCAGACACTCTTAACTTGTGCTTTACAGCTTTTTGCTTTTCCCTTTTTTTTTAAGTAACCAAGCCATATAAAGCTCGTTAAGGCTGATTGTACCTCCAAAAATGAGAAGGTGGTTGCTGATTAAACAGTGAAACTGATTTGCTCACATCTGCTGTCTTTCAAGAATCTGCTTGGTTTGGATGTTTGTGGTCTGAGAGAGCAGACATGAGCATCGATGTCAGCAGAGACTTCACATTTTGAAGACAGTTGTTGTCAAGGAATAAACTTGTCAAACCACAAGCATTTCATCTTGCCTGTATGCACATTTTCTGGTTTTGCATATTTCATTAGAGCAGGGAAAGGAATGAGGAGAGGAGGGGGGAAAGGAATGGGGAGAGGAGGGAGGAAAGCAAAGAAAGACAAAAGGAAATTTCCTTAGAAATTTCCTATAATTATTTAATCTTTTAAATACTGTTATGTTGCTGTCATAGAAAATTCTGTCTCTGACTCAAGACTCATCTGAGGATCAACAAGAGTAAAAGCTAACAGTGAGGTATTATAACTTGAAACAAGACATAATTTAATAAATGTGTTTAAAACATGACCAAGAATACATGACCAGATTTTATGCTTTGGACTTGTCGTGTTTCTGGAGATAAGATACTTCCATGTGCAGAGCTTCATTTGTTGCTTTGCAAGGAACGTTCAGAGTTCAGGATGATTAACTTGTTTCTAATGCTGTGGTTACAGTAGATTAATACGTTAAAAACTTTTACTCAGGAAAACAGATCCAAAAGTGACATGGCTTGTGCAGTTAATGCTAGTGTGTTTATTGGGGTTGGGGCAGGGTGTGTTAAGTGATCGGTATAAAACGAACTACTTTTGTCAGAGTGAATTACAATTCTGTTCATGAGAGAGAAACTTTATTAAACAGACATCTGCATGTAAGTGTTCTGAAAGAGGGATATGGACATAGTGTGTATTGATAGATAGTGCTTCCCGATGTCTTTTCAATACACTATAACATCCCTCAAAAGTAAATAATCTGTTTTGAAACTGGAAACTGGAGTCTAGAGTGAGTTGACTAAAGAAATGGCGTTCTAACAGTGGAAGTGGAATTGAACAGTTACTCTTCTGAGTCTTGAGTCTCTTTGGTGCACCTCTTCATCCAGCCTCATATATGGAGCAAAAGAACTCACATTAAACTTCTAAAATTCAGGAAAGAGCAATAAGAAATATTAGAGTTACTTGCATTAATAACTCCCAGATAATTTAGTGTAGTATCATCTTCCGTTAAAATACCAGGTTAAAGTGATATTATGAAACAGAAACATGATAAATTTATTTCATGTGTTTTGCAGTGTTGGTTTATGAAAGTCAGTTAGTCTTTGAAAAGTCAGTTTATGTAAAGAGTTTAACATGGTTACTTCTTCTTCCTAGGAGTTAAGAGAGGACAACATCATATTAATTGAAACAAAGGCCATGCTAGAAGAACAGCTAACAATGGCGAGAGCTCGTGGTGATAAACTGCATGAATTAGAGAAGGAAAATTTGCAGCTGAAATCTAAACTTCATGATGTAGAGCTGGTATGCCCTGTCTTTGTCTTTTTCATTATGCTAATTTTTTAGCTTCTATTTTTGTGCTGGGTCACAGATTCATGTCACAGAAACTAGTGGAGACAGGCAAATAAATCAAAATCCTTTTAAAGAGGTCTTCAGTATGAATTTTGTGTACATGAATTTTTGAAATGTTATGATGTTAACAGTGTAAATATTGACAGTGCTGCCTTGTGTGATTAATTTTATGCAAGGAAGTATATCGCAACTTTAAAATACAGATTGCTTTCATACATATTGATAGTAGAAAACTCTTAGATACAGGAAGATGAAATCTGTTTTAGTAAATGATCTTTCTTAATGGAAACAAACACCACAGCCATTATAGTGACTTTAAGAATTCATTACTGCTGTAAAAGTCACAAAATTCGAAAATTTATTTTTGTGCAAATCAAAGATGTGACTTATTGCTTCTTAGATAAGGAGGTGTAAGAATTGGCAGATTATTGTCAACAAACAAAAAGAAACATTGGATTTATAATCCCACTAGAAATAATAAACACTCTTACATCTTTTGTATTTTACTTAACTATCCTCCTCTTATCCCAGTGTGTTTTGAACTCTTATGGGTTTAACTGTGTAGGGGTGTAACCGTATGGGGCTTCCAACAGGGTCTGTTGGAAGCAAAGACGTGGAGGGTGCTGGGTGGAGTTACGTTTAATGATGGATTCAGGGCATTATAAGGGTCATGTCATGTTCCAGCTTTTCCAAAGTGGCTGGTGATTTTGAATGATGCTTTTCTGGGCGACTTGATGAATTTTTGAGTAATACTTTCTGAAAATTTGAGACCCTATTGAGGCATCGCTTCAGCTCCCACAAACACAAATGGCCAAAACAGTCACAAGAAGCAATAGTAGATTCGTTCTCCAGATCCGATTTCTGCATATTTTTAAATCCAAATTATGAGGCAGATGTTACTTGCCAATCCAAATGACTGGGTCCAGATTTGCCATGATAAGTTCAAGAAGCTAGGTGGAATTCAAGGTTATATCTGCAGAATCTCCAGTGGGTCAGTGAATGATGCTACATGTTTTTGAAGAGCTTAGCTCCGGAGGCAGCTTAAATCCAGCCTGCCTTACTCGCCTGGGCTTGTACTGGCCCAGTACATTCTCACTCCAGTCACCATGATACACTCCCAAGTGTATCGTGGACCTGAGTCTGCTCTGAACAGGGCCAGCTGGGTGTCCCTGCACTGCATTCTGAGGCAACTGTTGTAGCCCACAGCAAGCATTTAATGCTATACATGTGTTTATATATAAAAGCACACAGTCTTTTAAGGAGGTTCTTCTACCCTCAACATGCATCGTGCTTGTAGCAATTCAACTGCCAGAACCATCTTACAGATGAGCTGAATATTCATTTTCCTTCATGTGTGTTTTGCACAGGACCGGGACACGGACAAGAAGAGGATTGAAGAGCTGCTGGAGGAGAACATGGTCTTGGAGATTGCACAGAAACAGAGCATGAACGAATCTGCACACCTGGGCTGGGAACTGGAACAACTGTCTAAAAGCACAGATCTTGCAGATAGTGAGTAGCTGTTGTTGTGTTCGTGGTCTCTTTCAGGCTAGACAGGTTGGTTGGCTGAGACAGGAACACAAGTTGAGTTCAAGCTTGCGAGAACTGCCCTCACGCAGCCTCTTGACTTTAAACTTAGATTTTTGGGACTTCTGAAATGTGTTATTTCTAGTTGCTTTCACTTTCTTTCAAAAGCATTAAAAGGTTCTCTTTTTTTTTTTGTCCATCTCTGAGAGAGTGACTTCTAAGTAAAATGATAAAAATTTTAAAAAAGAAACTTTGTAAATGACGCAGCAGAAATGTCACAGTGGACACTGGATATTTCTACTGAATGGCTGGGAGGAGTCTGTGATCTTTAGTATTCTTTAGTACAATTAGTACAGACAATTAGCTGGTCTTTAAGTCCCAGGAAGTAGTGTATGCTGAAGTCATTTATTTTTACTAGATACAGAAAAATGTGTACAGTTAAAATAACTGACTGATTATTTTTTCTAAATGGTTGGTTTGATTTCCGTAACTATCACAAACATAACTAATGCTTCTTCGCTAGTCAGGTTTTAACATTGGTTTCTGTGTCTAATATTCATTCTGTCTATAATACCAGCCTAAATAACATTGCTAAACGGAACTTGAGAAATAGAAGCTGTTTTGTGCAGTTCAGTGTGCAGTGTTTATTGATTGCTCACTTGATTCTGCTAGAACTTGCAGGTTTGGCTTTGTGTACTGGGAACAGTTTAACTTGAAGACAAAGGAGTAAATTAGAGCAAGCAGATGTTGAGTTCTGCATAAAGCTGAAATAGCTTTGTTTTGTAGAATAACTGAATGTGTGCCTGACACTAATTCTCAAGTCTACTGGCTGTCTAGGATCTGAGTTCTCCTTACTAAGATTGATGGCTAATCTTACTTTTGATTAATAATCTTGCAAAGCAGGTTTACCTTGGCCTGAGAAATGAGTAGGACTCTATTCCTCCTTAAGTGTAATTAAGAATATTGTTATCTGTTATTTGTTCATTTCTGTTAAACATAACTTCCAAAATTTGCTCAACAGAGTGGTTTTGAAAAAAATGAAATTTTAAAATTATATTCCCTCACTGCACTGGTGCCTAGTATGTCTGCACTGGAACTCCAAAACCTCTCTGATTAACCAAAGGAGAAGGAGTAAGAGGAGCTGACAACATCAGTAATC